TCGGATGAATTAGATATGAATTTTAGAAGATTCACTGTGTTTATTACTATAAAAGAAATCCTTAAATAATTTATTGCGCAATATTAACCAGGGCTGACGTCAGCGAGGGGGCGCGGCGCCGACAGGCGGGGCCCACCGGTCAGCGACCGGGAGAGAGAGAAAGAGGGTGGCGGCGCGCGGCCCACCGGTCAGCGGCACGGGAAAAGGTTGGGCGGCGGCGCCACGTGGCGACCGGACCGACGGCCCCGATCTACCCAAGGGTAGATCGGACGGCGGCGCGGGACCTCGCGGCCGGGGCGCGCGGGCGCGGCGCGAGACGGCGGCGACCATGGCGCCGGCGGCGCGGCGCTCACACGGCGGCGGCGCACATGCGGCAGCGGCGCAAAGCGACGACCGACGGCGGCGGAGAGCGGCGGCTAGAGGAGAGGAAGGGGAAAAGAAGGGAGGGGATGCCTCACCGAGGGTGGCCGGCGCGGAGGAAGGCGATGGCGGACGGCGACGGCAAGCCACGGGAGGACGGCGTCGGCTAGCGGACGAGCTTCGGCGTGCCCTAAGGAAGGAGAAGATAGAGATTAGAGAGAGAGAGATGGACCATGGCGATCGGGATCTATGGCCGAAGGCGGCGGTAGAGGTGGCGCTCACCCGTGCGCGTGGAGATGAGGGCTCCGGCGACGAACCTCGACGGAGGAGGGGTGGACGAGGTGGACCTCGGCCGCGCGAAGCTAACGGCGGCGACGGCGTGAGACGGCGGCGAGCCTAGCGGCGGCTAGCGGCGGCCGGAGTAGCAAAAGCGGCGGCGGCGGGTGGTTGCACGGCGCGGAGGCGTTGGGGAGCTCGGGAGAGGTCGGCGCAATGGGGAAAAAGCGAGAGGGGGTGCCGGTGATGCTTAAATAGGGGATGGGGGAACCGGACGTGGCCGGGAGCGGCGGGATTCGACGGCCGACGTGGGGGAGTGGGGAGGAGAGAGAGGCGGGATTCGGTTTTCGAATCCCGGCCATCTCGGGCGCGGGCGCGAGCGGGAGAGGGAGGGGAACGGGCGCGGGGAATGCGGCGCACGCGCGGGCGTGGTCGACGTGGCCCGGGAGAGACGGAGGCGTGGGCGCGGCGTCGGTTGCGGCGGTGGCGGCGCGAGCGGGATCGGCGGGAGGAGGGAGACGGGTCCGACAGGTGGGCCCCACCTGTCGGCGACCCCGAGAGGAGGGAGGCGGGCGGCCGGCTGTCGGGCTGGGCCTCGGCCTGCGGCCGGCCCAGTAAGGGAGGGGAAGGAAGGGAGAAGTGGGCCGACGGCCCACTTGACAAAAAGGAGGGAAAAGAGAGGAAAAAGAAAAAGAAAAGGAAAAAGGATTTTCCCTGGAATTAACAATTGCACTTTAGTGATTTTTAATTGGTTAAAATTATTTCTAGAGCTCTGAAAATTCCACTAAAAATCCTGTTAATGAATTTCGACATGTAGAACTCAAGAAAAATTCCACATGTCAAATCCGATTATTATTTGCATTACTTTCTTAGGGTTTTCTCCTGATTTCACCAGCATTTTCTTAGGGTCAATTATAAATTACAATTTTGACTTGGGAGGAAAACTTCGGGGTGTGACACGTGGCGTCTACGTGGCAGTGTTGACTTGTCTGTGGCGTTGATGTGGCGCTTAGGTGGCATTAGAGTTAAAAACATAATGTGGGTCCATTTGTCATCCACACACACACAAAGAAAATGTGGGCCCACTAACACATGGGACCCACTTGTCATCCTATCCTCACTCCTTCCTTCTCACTCTCTCACTTCTCTCTCTGACTCTTTCTCTCCCCTTGGACCGCATCACCGCCTGTCGCCGCGACGAAGGGTGAGGAGTCATGGCGGCACGGAGCGCTCGCGGCGGTGGAGGGCCTGCTGGCTGCTGCTGCTGCTGCTCCGGTTCTCTCCATTGTCGGAGTCGACGTCGCCCGTGCTGACAGAGAATCCCAAGGAGGCGACGGGCACGCCGAGGCTCGGACCCAGCTTCGTCGGCAGGACAAAACGGGACTCGACGAAGGCGGTGGAGCTCTCCTCCTTCTCCTCCTCCTCCAACACCACCTCGTGTAGCTCCCCTCTCAGCGCGCCGGCAGGTAGGGGTATCCGCCGCCGCCGCAGGATTGGGGATCGGGGGGAAGAGATGGAGGGGTGGTGAGAGAGAGAGAGAAAGAGAGAGAGAGAGACAGAGGCGGCAGCGCGATGAAGCTTGGTGAGGGAGCTCTAGGGCGGCGAGGCCGGCTGTGATGGGGACGACGGTGACTAGGGGTAGGCTAGTGCACCTGCTGCTCCTAAGGCTACGTCAGCGTCGCTGACGACCTCTCCGCCGAAGTCGTCGCCTCCGACTCCTCTCCCATCGACCGAAGTGGGGCGGAGCGACGAGCGAGGAGGATGCCGCCCCCTGCTCTAGGCTCTCCTTCCTCCTCCCAACTCACTAGCCACGAAGCTTGCCGTCGGCAGCCTCATCAGCGCCGCTCCCTGTCGTCATCCCACTGGTGCCGCAGCAGGATGGTGCGGCTCCGCCTCAACTGCCCCCTCACCGTGAGTGCCAGCGTTGAGTCTGCAGCTGCCTTCACCGCCCACGGCTGCGACGGCGCGTCCCTCCCGAGGAGAGAGGGGGAGAGAGGGAGGAAGAAGGGGTCAAAGAGAGACTAACATGTGGGGTCCACATGTTAGTGGGGCCCATAATATTTATTTTGGTGAATGAAAAATGGGTCCCGCATATATTTTTTTAATTCTAATGCCATATAAGTGCTAGTCAACACCACGTTGGAAGAAGACGAAGTCAACACCACCACATAATCGCCACGTCAGTGAAACCACTCTCCAAAACCACCCAGGGAGTCAACTTGCACCGGTTTTAACAATTTAGGGGGTCAAAGATATCTAGTTTTGTGGTTGAGGGTCACGGATTAGATTTGGGTCACTTTTAAGGGAGTCAAAGTGAACTTATTCCTAAAGTCTTTGCTGGCTTGCTCGGTTCATTTAGGCCCATTCGGCTCTAATCCTCTCTCTTACTAGAATGTTAGTGTGAACCTTTAAATGTCAAACCTTAAAATATGGCTGAATTTAGGGACGTTAACGAGCCGAGCTTGAGCGAGCTCGTTTGTTGAAACTCGACACGAGTCTATTTCACCCCCGAGCTTTTGAGTAGGCTTCGTTCGAGCTTGATTAAGGTCGACCTTGGTAATCTAGCTCAACCATGACTGAGTAGTATAGCGTATATTTTAGGGATATTCTCTTATAAATATAATTATCTTGAGAAAATTAACTAAGATTTTGGGATGGCCTGTCGGATTTCACTCAACTGCTGGGGTCCTCTCTTCATATTGTTTCTTTCCCTCTTTCCAATTGCAAATGCCCCGACTTATTAGGGACATATCCGGTGAAAATGAGCTTAAGTGTTGGAAAGTCGTGAAAATCATACCTAAAAGTTTTATAAATTCATAAAAAAAAATACTAGAGATAGTGTAGATATGAAATATATTCTCACTAAATATCAAGTTCAAACTCAACTTTATTTAGGAGTAAAAAAAAAGACAAATTTCAGGTGAATAGTAACATGACACTATTCATCTGAAATTTTTTTCCTCTTAAACGAAGTTGAGTTTGGAGTTGAGATTTGGTGAGAATGTATTTTATATCTGCACCTCTCTCTAGTATTTTTTTCATGAATTTACGAAACTTTTAGGTATGATTTTCATGAGTTTTCAACACTTAGCTCTTTTCACCGGATATGTCCTCCGACTTATCAGAGTAACTATGACAATTCATCTTGATGCCATCCAAAATGGATTTATCAGTTGGGTAAGAATTGCTGGTAATTCAAACCCATGTTAGCTGGCTGCCACATGCATATTTTATCTATTCTTTGGGAATATATCTTGTGCACACAAGATTATTGTCCATTGGTACACAGTAGCTAAACAATATCACAGTTTTTTTTTAAAAAAAAAATCTACATGTACTCATCCTCCATTTAAGTAAAAAATTTCAAGTTTGGATTCATTACACAAAGAGCAGCAGGCAATAGAAGATTTTGCAATTTCTGATTTTTCCTTTTTTATTACCGCTAAAATGAAATGAATTTAATTTTGAAGTTTTATGCATTGATGGAGTAACAGTAGAAGTACATGAAGACCTTTTCTTTAGAATGTCTGATGTTTTTGTTAGTTGATCTATATTGTGAATACATCCAAAATATGTCCGCATACGCTATCCTTATTCAAATAACAGACAAAAAGAAATCCAAGCCATTCATATCTGACTTGATTCAAAAAAAAAATCCGTGTTTGGCTGAATTCGTAGTCCAATACATATTAGAGGCAAATTTGTCACCCCCATGTCTAGCACTCCCTCCGTTTCATATTACAAGTCATTTTAATTATTTTTTAATCAAACTTATTTAAGTTTGGTCAAACTTATAGATAAACATAGCAGCATTTTCAACATAAAATAAATCTCTATCTCTACTATTATAAAAATTGAAGATATTTTTGCCGGTATTTTGGTACGTTATTCGTGTTTGAGTCGGTTTTTAAGTTCATTCGCTTTTGGAAATACAAATCCGTGTTTGAGTTAGAAATATAAAAGGAGTCGTATAAGAAATCTCTTTAAAAAAACTCATGCTAACTTGAGATGAAATACAGACTCCTAATTGCAGCTCATGATTTCCTTAAAAAAATATTCAAGCGAATTAACACAGTGAATTTTAGCTTACCTAAACCGTATAACAATTATAATATCAAAATAGCATTTACCTGTTGCAACATACGAATATTTTTTTAGTCGTATTAAAAATATAATCCTTATTACATTTAATGAAACTAATTTGGTGTTTTAAATGCTGCTAATAAACTTGATCAAACTTAAAATAAAAAAAATCAAAACAACTAATAATATGAAAGGATAGGGTACTAGGCAAACAAAAGTTTCCAAATTCTAATCCAAGCCAGTCAGGTCAGGTCCATTAAAAAACTTTGGAATACGGACATGGTCGCGTCACTTTCGGCCCGGCCCAAACGAAACCAGTCCGCCTCGGTCTCTTCTTCTTCTTCTTCCCAATTTGCATCCCTACTTCCACGGGAAGCATCACCGAATCGGCGAGCGAGAGCGACTCCTCCGATCCTCATCGCTCCCTCCGCCTTGCCGCCGGCGCCGCGCCCCCGCCGGAATCCTCATTCGCTTCGCCTCGCTTCTCTTCTCCGAGGTGAACTTCCCTCGATCGATCCCTTGTGCCAAGCGCGAGTATTAGGGTTAGGTCTCTCTCTTGATCCGGTGGTCGATTATTTGCTCTGCATGCGCTGTGTAGATTAATTAATTGTCCTCTTGGCCTCGATCCCCCATGATTGGTGATGTAGTTAGGGCGCGTGATATTCTTTTGTCTGTTTTTTACCCGGTATCTATATCCAACCAGATATATGTGATATTTTTAAATCGAAAACTTAGCCCCTCAAATAATCCAATCTAAAATTTACTCCTATGGAGATTTGCACTTAGGACTTTGGAGTGCTACTCTACGTGCCCTTTCGCTCTGAACATAAGTGGGATTTGGTAGCTAATAGTAAGTATTTTGGAATTAGGAAGCATTAGTAGGATTCGAACCCATTGTTAAAGAAACCTATTCACCACTCACTATTTGTGACCATAATAGCATTGCATTGCAAGTTATGTAAACCAATGGTTAAATTACATTATTCTGGACTCTATCTATTAGCATGCTACAACTTGGCTGCACAGGATGGTAGATGCTAGATAGTGTGCCATGTAGTATTACATTTGTATAATATAAGCACTACTCTAATTGTACCAAATTATCAATCTTTGTTCTTTGCTTATATCTCACAGATTTGGATATAGTATTACACTGTATGTAATATAAGTAGAGTTTTCATTGTACCAAATGATCAACCTCTGCCCTTTGCTTATCTCAGATCTGGAGGAACTAGCTAGTACCAATTAAGATTCACCATGGAGCCAGATGCTTCTCCAACAAGTACCACTTCTTGTTCCAAGCAATCCAAGCTACCATTGGCATTGTTAACTCTGGAATGCAACAGCAACAAATGTTTCCTGTTCGATCCATCCACCAAGCAGACCCGTGGAGCAACCGACATGGCCGCCTTCTTCCTGGACGCCGCGACATTGGCGTTCGAGAACCGCGGGTGGCTGCTCATGGTCCAGAACTACCGCCATAGCCCCCGGCGAGAGAAAACACTGCGAACCGTCTTCCTGTCCACGCCGGCAACGGCCGGCGGGTGGACCTGCCGGTGTTCCGCTCCGTCGCCGGTGGCCTCTTCGTCTTCCACATCAACTCCCATGGGGAGCCACTGGTGGTGGCCTGCGTCGAGACGGCCTCCGATTATCCCACCATCCTGCCCCGGCGACGTGTACTGGACAACCTACAAGAACACGAACACCTCCCCCCCGCAGCAAGCTCGCCACGGGCGGCGCCGCGCCGCGTTCACATTCATCGTGGACGCGGCGTTGCGCGGGAAGCAGGTGGTCTGCGCCGACTACCGTGGGAGGATCTCCGTGTTCGACATGACGGAGACGGCCTGGAGGACGCCGGTGCCCTCGCCGGGGTGGAACTGGCAAGAGGATCACTTCCTCGTCACCGCCTCTGGCGAAGGCGGTGGCGAGGAAGAGGAAGAAGAGGAGGTCATCCTAGTCTCATGTCGCCGTCACGATGATCAGTTCTGCGAGTTCAAGTTCTTCAAGCTGGATATAGCAATGGCGCCGTCGCCATTGGACGCCGGCGATCTGGATGGGTTCAGCTGGTTCCTCTGCCGTGGTAGATCCTCCCGTTTAAGGGAGGAGAAAGGTGGGAGGAAAGTGTACACGTTCTGCCCTGACCGGCTGTGGGGTGAGAGCAGAACGATCGATCTTGGAAACGGAAAGAAGAGGAAGATGGCTCCTTTCAATCCACGAGGTTTGATAGAGAAATCCATCACAAATGTATATGCACACAATCTGGTTGATGGTGTTGTTGAGGAGCTTCTCCCGGCATCGATTGTGACTGAGGCACGCCATTGGGTTCACTCTGCTGTCTTCAGTGAACCATTTGCCTGATTCTAGAATTTGGGTTAATTGGACCTGATGATGCTAAATTTTCAAACATGGCATTTCAGTGTAAGCCTAGTGACATTGTCGGAGGAACTTCACTGCTTTCATCTTTTGACATTTTCTTCTGGGTAATCACATGATAAAACATGGTTCCATTCACAGGCCCTTGCAAATACAAAATGTTCTTGGCACATACTCATGCGTAGCTCTTCTTTCAGTTTTCTGGATAAGCAGATTTTCAGTGTCAGGATTTCCTGAATATGAATCCTTAAGTATCTGACTGGTTAATCGAGCATCAACACAAAGCATCCAAAGACAAGAGACAGAAAAACGAAGCATAAAACATCTGGTACACTGATAACACTGTCTGTCTACTCCAGACTTCCATGTTACAATACCAGTACAACTACCATATCAACATATGTAGCAGGCTGTCCATGGAAAATATTCTGCCAAGTCTATCAGACTAATGCTGGCTAACATATTCTGCCAAGTCTATCAGACTAGTGCTGGCTACCTAGTTATGTGGATGCTACAGCCTATGTCATGGCCATGTTAAGACGTAGTTAGATTACCAAAATTCGATGCTTAGCGCATCTGATCAAACCCAAAACATTGGGCATATAGGTCGAAGTTTATGTTTCTTGAGAGGTATAGACAATGAGACGAACCAAAAGGCAGACTGACAGAGACAAAGGCACTGCATCCAGAGTTCACAGCGAAACAAACTCGACGTCGCTTACGCATCCTCCAGACTGATCTTTGGATGAACCAGGTGGAGTCGATTGAGACCCCGTTGCTGACACTCGCCCTCGTTTCATAGTTTTCTTCTTTGTGCGTGGAGGTAGTGGCGCAGACTCCTCGGGCTGGTGCAAGTCTACAGGGTATGACACCTCAGACTGGCTGACATCAACAGATCTTGAGGTTGAAGCACCAAGCTCACCAAGCAGTTCGCTGCGTGTAGGGGGTGCTGCCCAGCAGAGTGGATCCACTGAAAAATAACAATGTATACTCAATAACAAATATATCAGCAAAAGCTCCCAAGAACAGGTAGTTTTGACAGGATATAGCTATGGGATGAAACTGGGGGAAAATATATTCAGTTAATATCACAACACTAAATGATATTTAGATGGTGCTAAGATCAAGAAAGGATGTAAAGTAGCAAAATGCAAGGGCATCATGAGTACATGACTTCTCACAGCTCATTTGACTGAAAATAACTAGACATGCTTGCATTGCAAAGATACCTCCAACTGTGCCATTTGCGCAGCAACTTACCTTGTTTGAAGCACGCCTCCTTTCCAACAATGTGGGGAACAAGAAGTTAAAAATGAAAAAAAAGTAGAATAGATGTAACAAACCTAGGACTGATAACACACCTTGCGCAGTCTCAAGAAGCTCTGGTAATTCAGGAGTTGCTGCATATGTATGCTTCCTGACATAGTCTTCTTGCAGAGGCTTGGGGGTGGCGAAAGAGAACTGGGTTAAGTTAACCCCTTGCCTAATGTAGTGTGGGTTCTCTGCCAAGTACCTAGAATATGGACATAATAATTACATCATTTCCTGGGAAATATTTCAAGAACTTTCCAGAGCTTTTCCAGAGCTTCGTTTTGTTGTACCAGACCAACTAGAACTAGGTACCCCAAGTAATACACTAGCCACACAAAATATGCAACAAAAAGAGCACAAATGGATGAATCCCACCTCCCAACTTCTACCAATGACCTCAACTTCTTCCCAGTTGGAGAAGTGTAGTACCTGAAGGAAAAAAGAAAAGTATTTCACATATGTCAACCTCGAGTATCTTGTGTGTCCTACAAGCAATGTTGCTGTTCGAAATATCATATAATGAAAAAGTTCCTGAGGAAACTGGCAAACATAATAATGGCTGTTTGCATTATTCAAGCAGGCATATCATAAGGAATTAGTGAGATATTTGCTATGGTGTTACAAAGTATTAACTGAAAACTGTAGAAGTTTCATGATCATAGGTGGTACTAGTATGAATAAACTTGAGATCGCACTAATTATTTAGAAAGTGTTAACTAATCTTAGCAGTTAGCAGCTAGTCAAGGCATAAATAAACAGGACCAGTGTGCCACGATTAACATGAAGATGCTATTAGGCACATAAAGAAAGAAGTTTGATATCCGAATATGGAAACGGCCAAAAATATGGTACCAAATATCACGTACTACTGCAAATCCAGGAAAGGAAACAGTGACATACACATCTGCAAACTTGCTGCAACCCTCTCCTCTGATTCTGACCTCTCTATCCCAGCCAGGAGGAGTCTGGGAAATGCTTGCCTTGTCAATCGCCCACACCCTACTTCCATCCTGTGATATATCTTCAGGATCAACGCAAGATATAACACGGTTCCATTCACGAGCTCTTTCACATACAAACACATCCTGACAAATATTCTCACGTATCTCTTCATATTTCTCTTTTGTTGGGATGATCCTCCATTTGAAGCAGTGAGCACATTGCACGGTGTAAGCACCGATAGATGGTAAAACAGTGTTATATCCGTGTCTTGGCTTCATGTATCTTTGGTTCAGCGAAGTATAGTTATCTATAGGCTCAGTAACTTCAACTTCCCCTTGTTTGTCATACGTGATCTCAGGATTGTACATGACAAGGTGCTTTGATGTGTCTTCCATTGAGTAATCCTTGTGGATATTCGCATCACCATCACTGTCATCATCAATAATGTGTACCTCAACAGTGTCATAGAACTCGCGAGGCTTCTTTTTTGAAGGTTGAGACTTGCGAGAATGAACTTTCATAGTGTTGGGGTTATGACCTTGGAAAGTCCTCATGACATGCTGTCTTTTACCTGTAATAAGGAACACAGGGTTCAATAACAGCAGCATGATTTCAGAAAGGGTATCCCTTTCTGTTCCCCGTTAAAGAAAACAATACAATATGATAGTAATTCAATGACCAGAAGGAAATCAGTACATCACATGAACTGCAGCATCAAAAAGATTATATACAAGAAGTTGAAGTTCATCACCAGTGAAAGCTGGGGAATGAAAGCAATCAATTCTGTTAACTACCTCATGCAATAACTAATAAGTATATGTCTTTGATAAGGTTCCAGTTATTATGTCTTTCACATGATGAAATGGAAAATTCATCCATTTTGATGGCCGGATAATTGTTATATGCTAGTGCACAGATCAACCAAGTACACAAAAATATTGGTATACCTAAAACATGAAGTAACAGAAAATCTGGGGGGAAAAGTTATATCATTTCCTTCTGCACCTAAGTACTCCCTCCATTCCAAATTGATCTATATATTTCATAGGTACACTAAGACCAAGAAAAGCTAATAACTCTCTCATACTATATTTACTCTAGCAACAAACTCGATGCATCCACCATCCCCACTATTTCCTAGCCAATAGCAAATGTGCTTTTTTCAAATGTTTTGAGTTGAAAGTTTTTAAATATTGACTTGAAAATTTTCAAATCTAGCCTTGAAAATTTCAATTCTCGAGTGAAAATTTTCGAATCTTAGTTGAAAGTTTTCAAAATTTTCAAATCTGGACTTGAAAGTTTTCGAATATCGAGTTGAAAGTTTTCAAATCTCGAGTTGAAAATTTTCAAATCTCAAGTTGAAAGTTTTCAAAATTTTCAAATCTAGACTTGAAAGTTTTCGAATCTTAAGTTGAAAGTTTTTAAATCTCGAGTTGAAAATTTTTAAATCTCAAGTTAAAAGTTTTCAAATTTTTCAAATCTGGATTTTGAAAGTTTTCAAAATTTGACTTTAAAATTTGAAACTTAAATCAAAAGTTTTCAAATCTAACTTAAAAAATTAAATTTTCAATCTGTTAGTAAAAAAATCTCTTAAAAATCTTCAGAATCTTTTCTAATTACTACTAGTATCATTAGTGTTAAATATTAACTAATAAATTAATAGATGTAGTTAAAGTCTTAAGGGGAGGTGCTTGCTAGCCGCGCGCACGCGCTAGCTATGAGCCCCAAGTATCAGACCATGTATCAGTACACTATAAGTATATATTTGTAGGTAACTACTATATATATTAACTATTAAATTAACTATAGATAATTTAGACTTAGCAGTTAGCTATACTATCGAACTTGCTCTACTATAGAGTACTACTCCTTTTAAAATAAACGTTGATGTTAGATTTTTTGTAAATCATTTGATCATTTACTAATTTAAAACTTTTGTATAATTATATAAAGGTACTGAAGTATTTTTTTTAATAGATGATGTCGTTGTTATTTTGTCACATGTTTGACTATTCGTTTTATTTAAGAAAATTTACGTAATTATATTTTTTTTGTTGTGAGTTGTTTTATCATTCAAAGTAATTTAAGCATGATTTATGCTCCCTTTATTTCATATTATAAGTTATTTTGACTTTGGTTAAACTTAAACTACTTCATGTTTGATCAAGTTTGTAGACAAATATAGTAATATTTACAACACTAAATTAGTTTTATTAAATATGTTTTCATAATATTTTTTCTTGAGATGAAAATTTAATTAACTTTTTCTACAAACTTGGTCAAATTTAAACTAATTTGCCTTTACCAAAGTTAAAACAACTTATAATCTAAAACGGAGAGAGTATCTTATATATTTGTATAAAATTTTTAAATAAAACGAATAATCAAACATGTGTTCAAAAGTTAATAGTGTCATCTATTAAAAACCGAAGAGAGTATCTCAAATGCCCGGATATGCTGTATGAAGCCAAATCTTGAGGTGAACCTCTAGATTATGTTTATCATAGCAGAGGCCGGTCATAAAGAATATGGAGTTATGGGCGAGCCGTGGTGGCTTTACTGGGCATATTACACCCATGGTTTTAAAATAAATCAACCTCGTACGAAATGTGACACATAATAGTATTATAAATCTAGATATACGCCATTCGTCCCAAAATAAACCAAACCTCGAGTAGCTAGCTAGGCACTATATGCTAGTACGTATATGTGCGATTAAAGTCTAATTTAAGAGTGCATTTAGTAGAGTTTTAACTCCTAAATCTAACTTAAAGAGGGGAGTTGCGGTGTGGCCCAAACTACGCTCCATCCTATGCCTATAGCCTGTTCCGTTTTCTTTTTGAGCGAAGTTGAAATATTTTGAGCCCAATTTAAAATCTGACAAAACATGATAGTACTCCATAACTCCAACAAAGTCAATGTTTTTGCCAAAAAGAGAGAAAAAAAAGGTCAATGTGTTCTATTTTGGTGCTGTGCTGGGCCTTCCACCAGATCCATTTGTATTCTGGAAGGCCCATTCGGAATCCATATAGGAGGAGGAGATGGGCCCGGCCCGGCCCATATTTCGCGACCTCGCGTTCCCCCTCCTACTCCAACTCCAACCACCCCACGTCGTCAACCTCTCGATTCCCCATTCCAAAACAAAATTAAAACCCTAGACCGCCATGTTCGTCCCCGACCTCCCACCCGCGCCGCCGCCGCCCCCACGCCGGCGACACTCGCCGCTACGGCCTCTACTCCCCGGAGCAGCAGCACCAGCGTGCAAGCTCCTCCACCGCTGCTGGTGACCGACGTCCCGTTCTCTCCTCGATCGCCGCCTCATCGCTGTGCAAGCTAGCTTAACTACCTTGATCGATCTATAGGATGGAGTTCTAAACAGGGTTCAGAATTTCGGGTCTATAGATATGAAATGATTTCGCCCGGAATTTTTGGATTTCTTTTCAATTTTTTTTTGTGTATTTGTTCAGATTTGACTAAATTTTGATCAAATTTTAAATTATTTCAGGCCGAAATTTAATTCCAGTATAACCTGAAAACGACAATTTGAACCCTGTTTCGAAGTATACTCATTTGCTTTTAAGACGCAGGCGCATGTACGAAGACGAGGGAGATAGACGCAGAGATGATCAGTATGTTTGCTGATCACCGGCACACTGCAGGTGAGCTTATTATTTCATGACTTATATATCTGTGCAAACTTAACACCGTACGTGAATGAAAAATCTTATGTTTATCTAATGTGCAGATCTATTGGTCATCACAAGAGAAGCTTAATTAAGCCCCTCGCAGCTGAGTACTTTACCGTATGATCGCTGCAAGAGCCCTCCTGAAAGATTTGATGGTATACGTAGTCCAGTGTAAGAACATGGTGGTGTTCTTTTCTCTTGAAGATGAAGATGAAGATAAAGATTAAGTATTTTACGTAAAATGAGGTGGTATTAACGTATGATTTATTGAGTTTTAATTATTAAAAACTTGAAAAATAGATTAATATGATATTTTAGAGCAACTTTCATATAGAAAGTTTTCGCACGAAACATACCGTTTAGCAGTTTAAAAAACGTGCCACGAAAATCTTAATTTTTATCCAACTCTTGTTGGAGAAAATCTTAATCTTTATCCAACTCTTGTTGGAGAAAAGAACAGGGCCTATATGGAAGAAACTCTTATGTGATTGACATGGCCTGTGATATACCACCTCCGTCCCAAAATATAAGAACCTGGAACACGTTTGCTAGTACAATATATATGGACAAACATCTCATCTGATTCTAAATTCCTATATTTTAGGACGGAGGGAGCATATATTTATGTGGCACTTGTGGTAGGATATTTGAAAGCATGTTTTTACCATATGACACTCCGCTAGTGGTCTAGTGCGTTTGGCACATGACACTCGTAGTGCATTATTTGGCCGATGAGAGTTTTTAGAGGGGAATTTTGTCCTCTAAGTTTTATATGCTTGGGGTCTTTGGGGTGTTCTCTATGATTGGGTTTAAATGAACTCTTATTCAGTGTCGACGTGGGAAACGGAATACGGTTGTCGGACAAAAAGGTCCCGCCAAATGATTAATCGAAATTAATTATACGGAAATTTAACGGTTGTGTTCTAGAGTTGTAGTAGGATACATAGGCAAACAACAACTTTTCAGCAGGTCCACGGTATTATTTTTAAATGTATAAGATCTCAGCAGAATGAGGAGGATTTCCAGTTGCAAAATTCAACCAAGACCGGCGCCCTGCATCCATGATCCATGTGACAATTATCAAAATCGTTGGTTCCTTTCATTGGGCAAGAACAAACGATCCATGCCTCAATGTGTCTTACCAAAGGTCAAACTAATCTATTTATTCTTACCGGCCTAATTGAAGAACAGCAACCGTTTGAAAAGTAAAGATTAATGCTTTGGTCGTCTATAAGTTCTGGCTCACTTGGCATGATAACCACTTTGACTTATATTTTTCATCCTTTGGCGTTTCATAGGCTGTCACAAACCCGGCATCTCACACAGATCGAGTGTCTGTATATCAACATAGAGTATACGCCATTCAAGGATATGACTAGCCAATGCGAAGTCCGGTGGCTAATTACCATGCTAACTAATCAACCCAGCCAGATCTGCCTCAAGGTGTATTTATACACAACAATTCCAACTCTTAAGGCCATACTTTAACTTGTTATATATAGACTGAGAAAAGCATACTGCATTTTGATCGACATTAATTTACGTTTAACAATCCGTTGGCGATAACATGCAATTAATCTCCAGTACATGGTTCCATACGAGGTTGCAAGTGCAATTACACAATTACTCATTACATGTGGTGCAACACCTTGTTTATATGCTATTTCGGCCAGCTCAAATGGAATTTGGAGATGAAAATTAACGGCGCCAATCTGCAGCTAGTTTATGATTGTTAGCAACAGTTCCTGAGGTTGCCAGGATAAGAGATGTACCTGATAGTGTAGTAGCAAGAGGTGTATAGTTTTAACCCCGAGATCCCGTGTTCAATCCCCAATACACTCATAATTTCTTCTTAAAAATGTTTTGAGGGATGTCTCTCCCTCCAAATCTCGTTTAGGTTGCCAGCGTCAATCCTCATGGCTGCTGGTTGTTGAGGTTGAGCCTGAAGCAGCAACTCTCAATTAGTAGTTCACAATTCACATCGATGAAAAAAAAAAATCTCAAACTGATAACCAAATGGTTTGGCATTTTTCCATTTTTCAGCAGGAACCATGTCCACATGTATGCAAAAATGTCACATGCTGCAAATTGCAGAGTATATCACGAAAATGATGTGTCTATGAACAACACAAGTTCCTTTCCTGCACCAGAAAGAGGAAGATCACAGGGCTCTCAAAGCATCGTACGACCCAGTGATTCTCCTTCACAACTTTGTAATCATTCTGTAAGCAGGGGCATCATAATCATCTTGTTGATCATGCATGTAATGGCATCTCTTTATCTCGCTTTCACCACCCAACCTGACATGCCATTGCAGCCATTCTTGAAATCGTGTAGACGCCGTGGGTCTGAACGTGAGACCTGACACCGAAATCTGTTGCTGTTGACTGCTCGTGTATCTGGAATGGGACAGCTACTGCTAACTGATGTGCATTACATTCTTTTTGCAGCCTCTGGTTTCAGGATGCAAAACCAAGCATGATAATCGGTGAAAATTCAGGTAGGTGAACAGCGATCGAACTCATGATTGAAGGCTGATATATGTAAAAATTGGTCGATCATCGTGAATTTTGGTCCACCACTGTGCTGAACGCATTTGCTTGCAGTTCAGTTAGCTAACCAGTTTCTGAATTTTGGTCACATTATCAGTCGACAGCTTCAGGTCCATGGATTTTCATATTCTCTGAACTTTGCAGCATCTCTTTTAACTACTCCATTATATGGTGTTGCTTGGTTACTTGAGCTAATGATATGCCAAGCTTGCTTAATTAATCTAATTGTGTTACTAGAAAATCATGGACCGTTTCAAATCTTCAGACAAGTATTTTTCTGACCAGATTTGGCCTGCCTCCACTGCATCGTACGTACGGACACCCAAAACGCAATTTGCTCCTCTGCTTTTCTACTGACTTTTGATTTTAGTCACGTCAGGTTCTGGAGGCAGAATTATAATAATAATTTGTTTATGTATATATTTGACCATATCTGATTGCCTAGCTAACGTAACCGACGCAATGTATAGCTTTTGTTTTGTTGCAAAAAGGCTACATTTTTTTTGGTTAAAAGGGAAAGGCTATATATTCTCTTCTGCTAGAGAATGATGAAGCTATTTCTGCTAGAATATGCCTCTTCAATTCAGTTATTGTTAATTGTATGTATTTCAACATATATGTCGTCCTTTTCTATTATATTATTACATGTAGATATTTAGTGCTTTGCCGGCGTCTAGAAAAAGATCAGATAATTCTCGACATATATAGGATCTCATGCAGTATATTCCTTCAAGAAATAATGCATGTCAGGACAGGATTTTCAGGATGATATTTTGTTACTGGAGAAAATAAATCTATAGTGGTTAAACATTATTAATTAAGGCCATATGCTAATTCTGCACTACTAGCACACAAGTGATCAACAGGCCAATTCAACTGAAAGAGACGCAAAAGAAAAGATCAATCAATCATGCATGCATTCACAAGACCATATAGCTCTACCTAATATCTGAAGAAGAAGAAAAAGAAATTAACTAGGAAGTTGATGGAGAAAGGCTCGCTAATCTCAGCTTGTCATTTCCTCGGCCAAAGTCACGGGTCTTGTCTGCGGGCAGCTAATTAATTATTCATTTGCGTGAACCCAATCTTCAAGATAATTCCATTTACCTATCTCAAAAATCTTATTAATTAATTAATAGAAGCCTTCTTAAGAAACACATCATAAGTCACAACACACGCACACATATCGTATATTTTGATATTAACGAAATTATCACGAACGATTCGCTATCGACATATACCGTTGAAAGAATTACTATCTGTAAATGTAATCGCGGTAAGAAATCTACGCACTTGAGCTTTACTCGCTTTGCTATTATTAGAATTATTATACCTACATA